TAACATCAAAGAGATACTACCTATATATTATGAAAAAGAGACACCCTGAATTATGGACACATTTTAACATCACGAAGGTGTCCTTATTGCCTCGGTCCCTGCTGAGATTCCATTTAATCCCCACCCACAGGTGTTTGAAGTGGCAGGGGGAGGGGAGGACGGGGAGAATGGCGACATTGTCGACGCTGACGTCACCAGCAGAGACACAACCCAGTTGCTAGGCAACGAGTTGACATGACAATCAGGCACACTCTCCGCCCTTGTATCGTGCACCCCCCAAATCCATTCTCCCCTTCCTTCTCTGGTGAAAGAACGATTACTTATGTTGAGTGTGTATAATAAATGTGTGCTTATTTACCCTCGGCGCGCATGCGCAGCGAGGGTACTGGGGGTCTGTAATCCTCGATCCCGCACTAAAGTGTCAGGTGGTCCAGAGCATTGGCTGGGAACAGCTCTGGTTCCTCCCCTTACCCACAAATCTACCACTGACCCATGTTTCTCGAAGGGCAGCGTATAGTTCGGCATAGCACTGCGTCCGTAGACGTCTGTCTGGAGAGATGAAGGGCTGGGCGTTTTTTTTTCCACCTTGGGTTTTAAAAAAACTAACTAACTAAACAATCCACTGGTAATACGAAAATTAATAGAGAGATGAAAGGTTGCCAATTTTTCAACCTTATATATATTTTTGGCCTCAAACAGAAATAGGGCTGGCCATTTTTTTGAATGGAAATGGTGCATAACATGCTGTTCTATGGCCAAGACCATCAATTGTGGTGGTGCCACACTTGTGTATGGGTTTGCACTTTAGTGCTTTTCATTTTGACTATTTTTAAAAGTTGAAGTGCAATATTCAAATGTCAGGGATAATGCAGTGAATTATGAAAGTTCAAATTCCCTTTTGGTGATAGGTGAACTGATAATGGAGCGAGGGGACATGTTGATATTGATCAGCAGTGAATTCGGGAGTGACTATGGGGTTAAAACGGTGCAGGAAACAGAGGGTTAAATGAGTGAGATAGGTCAGTGAGTTGGGACGAGATCAGCAGCATCCACTCCTCTCTCTCGGTGGTCAAACTTGTGTTCCTTCCAATGCTTAGCTGAAGGACAATGACAACAAACAACAAATATAGTTGAACTTTCAGTGTAATTACGTGGAACCCCTCTAATAGAGACACAAATGGGACCGAATAAAGTGTCCCATAATTATTAGTCCTGTTAATTGCAAGAACTGTTCTTGGGGAAAGAGACTGTGTCCTCACTGGAGAGGTTCAGAGAGAGGGGTTCAGAGAGAGAGGTTCAGAGAGAGGGGTTCAGAGAGAGAGGTTCAGAGAGAGAGGTTCAGAGAGAGGGGTTCAGAGAGAGGGGTTCAGAGAGAGAGGTTCAGAGAGAGGGGTTCCACTGTATACTGTAATTGACGCAGTAACATTCTCACTCACCTTGACATTCTTTGCTGCAGTAGTAGTTGGGATTTGGCAGCCCCCTGCACCTGAGAGAGGGGAGAGAGGGAGGGAGGGGAGGGAGGGATAAGGGGGAGCAGCAAAACTAACAAGAGCACAAAGCCATGAACAGAGGGCAGCTAGAGGTATGAATAAGGAAGAGGTGGGAAGAGGAGAGAGAAAGAAAAGGGGATGTGTGGAGAGGAAAATTGAGGGTCCTGCCAAGATTTGAACTTGGATCTTGAGATTCAGAGTCTCACGTGCTGCCATTACACCACTGGACCAGGCACCTGCCTTTGAGTAGCAAAATACTCTTATCAACCTCAGCTGTTGTGACAACACAGGCTTATCAGACCACACCCCCAGAAAAGAACAAAGACTTTTCTGGTGACAATTATTTGTTCTGCTGAATCAGCAGTCTCAGTTAAATGAAACTGTAGACACTCACACGTGACAACAGAGAACAAAGCCCCACACACAATCGCAGAAACAAATATTGCGAGTCATTACGTAATGACCACAGGGCTGCTGATTCAGCACAACCAAGACATGTCCGTTGTCACCGGACCAGCGAGATTGGAGGAATAGGAATGGGGGCAGCGAGATTGGAATGGAAAAGCGACATTGAACGAGATAGGAAGAGGGGACTCACTTCTGACATCTCTTGAATGTCTTAGCGCTTGTCTCTCCCTCCCCACAGCAGGCACACGTGTGCAGCTTTTTTCTCCTGCCCTCCTTCTCCCCCACCACCTCTACCCCTTCGCTGCTTCTCGACGTCACCACCGCCGGTCTTGTCGGCGTCTCCGTAGCAACATGCTCCACCCCACTCCCAATACCCGAGTCGGTCGGGGAGGCGGGGCCAGAGCTGTTGCAGCTGGCGGGACCTTCACTCTCCCCCTTCTCACTCCCAGCTTCCTGAGACACTGTCACTGCCTGCAGCTGGCCCTCTCTTCTGTCAGCCTCTCCTTCAAACCTTTCTACTTCATTTACTTTCTCTTCCACTTCCCCTGCGAACTGTTTCACCATCTCCTCTTCTTCCTTTTCTCTTTGTTTTTTCTCTTCTTCAGCTTTTGCTCCGTCAAATTTTTCTTCTTCAAGTTCCGCTTCTTTCACCCTCCTTTTTTCATCTCTTCTTGTTTCATGTTTGCAATCTTTTTGTTCAACATTGTGTTCTTTCTTTTCTTCAAATTTTTGGTCCTTCCTTTCTTCAACGTTTTCGCAGTCATTTTTGTCTTTACTCATTTCCTCGCCAGCAGATTTGCTCACTCCCTCTTGTCCCTCGTCTTCGTTCGCAGTTTTCTTCTTCTTTTTCCTTCTCTTCCTCCCTCCTCCCTCCCCTCCTCCCTCCCTCTCCTCCTCAGCCCTTCCCTCACACCTGGCCTCACATATTTTGCCTCTAGCGCTCTTTGAGGAAGTGTTTGGCTTATCCAGAGAACCTGCCAACGGTTTGGGAAAGAATATGAACAACTGCACATTTAAGACTGCGTTATAGAGACAAAACCATTTTCGCAGAATGGACGAAAATACTTCCTCAAGCTTCAAGAGGACAATACGTTACACAACCACCCGTTGCCATGACATCACTAACCAGAGGAAGTTGGTGGGCGGAGTCTACTAACGACCTTCAGGAGGTCCTCCGTGCAGCCCATGATACTAGTGTCTCTATTTCTCGGTCTCCTGGGCAACAAGAGAGGACAAGAGAACGAGAGAATGAAACAGAACTAATTGCCTATGGTACCAAAAATGAAGTGGAGCGAATAGTGTGATATTGAGATATGGCAACATGTGTGCATTTTAAAGGAAATTGTAACGGGAGTGAAATGAAGGTGTGTCGGTTAGACCACTCCCTTTTTTCAATGGCAACGGCCAGAAACACGATGTGATAGTATTGTGCAACGTTTTGCAATAGGAAAGAGGGACAGAGGTGAACTGACTTGTGAACAGACGCTAGGAATTCTTCCTCAAGTTTTTCGTCGGAAGGAATGGTTTCCGCAGTCAGCCAGCGACGGAGGCAAGACACTGCCGCACCCGCGAACTTCACATACACTGGCAGTCCGCACAGTACCTGGTGTGTGGGGGGGAGGGGGAGAGAGGATAGAGCAGGGGAGGGGAAGAGAGGATAGAGGAGGGGAGGGGAAGAGAGGATAGAGGAGGGGAGGGGGAGAGAGGATAGAGGAGGGGAGGGGGAGAGAGGATAGAGCAGGGGAGGGGGAGAGAGGATAGAGCAGGGGAGGGGAATGGGGTAAAGGAAGAAAGAGAAGACAAAGGGAGAAAGAGAAGTTCCATAAAACAAGAGAGACAGTTGGTCCACTGCAGGCGAGATGGTGGCTTACCTTCATGAATGTCCTCTTGTTGGTTGGAGGACCAAACAGTTGTCTGAATACTTCTCTCGTCTCCTTCATGACAAATGGACTTTGGGCTACACAACAACAAAAACATCCAGAAAGTTACGGGCGAAATATGGGGGTAGATACGAAAAAGGTTGGAGTTTGCAGTACAGTAGGCACCACAAGCATACCCTAAAACAGCAGTACCACACGCACACACACACACTTCCAAACAAGAAACACTTCTTTAGTTTAAAAGACAGGCCCCCCGTCAGCCCCTCTCTCACCATAGTTGGCCTTCTCCAGGAGGAGAATGCAGTTCCTGTTTTGAGCCACAATCACACAGTCCATGATGAGTGCCTTGGCAGCAGTGAACCGACGCTCCACAAACTGCTCCCTGATGTACCCCACCATCTCGTCAATATACTCCCTAGCTTCCTCTTCCTGTCAGCCAATAGTTATTGAGGGTCAATTACAGTACTTCATTGTTGGCTTTGTGTCAGAGATACAAGTGAAAATCCCTCTCCTTTTCTTTCCCCAAGAACTGCTCTTGCATGCAAAGGACACCTAACTAATATGGAATAATGTGGACACTTTCCATTCAGCTCCATTGATGTGTGGTTAATGGATTCCACTCTAGTGGAACACACACACCTACAGTACCTCTCCATTGTGTAGTGTTCAGAGTGGAACTCTTCTAAAACACATTTTCTTTCCGCACACCATTTACTGCACGACATTTAACCCCTATAAGGACACCTCACTTAATCAAATGGACACTTTCTTCTGCACAATTGGTGTCCTAATTAGAGGGGTTCCACTCTGTACGTAGTTGTATATATGAAACTTGCCGTCATGGGAAAATCTTTCATGATCCCATGGTTCCACAGAAAGTAGTCAAACGCACTGACAAAGAGAGACCAAAATTTTCGACTCTGGAGTTTGAAGAGATCACATGATTGTAGAGTGTGGTGACGTGATCAGCCCAGCTCGCGCATGCGCGCGCGTAGGCGTGTGTGGTTATAAGCTAATTGCATGCCCTGAACTGTAAAACCGCTGCCTATAAAGCAAGGACCCTCCCTTGAAGCGGGCCTCTACGTTTTCAAACACACTACCAAACCGATTTTCTATGGAAAGTCTATGGTACTTTACACACACGCCTGTCCTGCGCGCGCACACGTACGTACACGTACACGCAGACGCACCTGTTCGTGCCACATGCGTTTGAAGGCGCCGGCGTGGGAGCGAAAGAACTCGAACTCGTAGGGAGAGATGTCCTGGTGAAACATACCGAAGTCCTCTCTCGGTAGCCACACACGCCGCATGATCTGCTCACAATACGCACCGACAACCGCTCGAAGTACTCTCTCGTCTTTCCGACACTGGCGCACGCCGCGTATGAGAGTGCTGACTCAGCACAACAACACTTGCGCATGCGCACTCTGAATCTTGATAAAAGTCAGGGATGAGATCGAGGAGGCGTGGCTACTGTGTATGCGGCTGTATCTGGAGAGTTATTCTCTGCTGGTTGTCAAGACACTCCTTCACCTTGTCCTCAGTGACCGTCAGCCTCTCTTCCAGAATCGACATAGTCTGCAGTGAAAATATATGGAGTGAAGGAAAAATGGCATAGGGTTACTAAGGTGTGTCATGAAACCACAGGTGCAATATTTAGCGGAAAAGGTTATTTTATAAGTAACCTTATAAGTATATGGTGACAACCCCACATTTTTGCACCAACATGAAATTCATAAAATGGAACCTAAGCATACCTGAGTGAGAATATCCAGCTGGCCCACGATGTGCTGTAGAGTGTTTGACAGTTCCGGAGACACTGTCGTGGCTTCAAGGGGTGTGGTTTGGGGGACTGGCCCCTCATCATCTTCTTCCTGTGACATTAATCACGCGGCATCAATGCAACGCAAGGCAAGAGACATAATACAAAAAACTGGGAATGTGTGAGTTGTGAAGGCTGTGATGAGTGTATTGTACCTGTGAAGGGTGTTGAGGGGGAGGATGTGAGGGGTGTGGTCTGTGGAAAAGCCGAGGCCCAGACATTAGTCACAGTGGGCGGGGCTGACACCGTGTCACATGGCGTTCTCCTCGCATCCAACTACATGACATGTGGATTAGAAAAATTTCATGTACATTCATGAGCAAAGTGAGCCTACTGGGTGGTTTATATTTACACAGCACTATATTTTACATATTATGGTAATACTCAATGCAGGTAAAACCTGTGGAATTTTTAACACTCGCATTTTGCATAATGTGTTGAGTTTGCAGAAGCGCTGCAGTCTGATCTGGTGAACAGTATTAGGAAGATCCGTACCTGATGTGTGGGTTGAGTGAGGGTGTGAGGAGGGGGAAGATCGTGAGAGTGGTGACGATGGGAAGAGGGGGCGGGTCTCTTCCGCCGGGCCCTCAGAATCTCCCCATGGTCCAGAGAATCAAAGTTTGTCCTCCACACCAGAACCTGGGGGCACCACACATTAATGCAGTGTACACATATTAAACATGTAGTATGAAGCCCCAATACTTGACGAAGTTGAAAGGTTAGAGCGACAGACAAAGGTTGGAGCGAGATAGGAGGAAAGATGAAATGTTGGAGCGAGATAGGGGGCAAAGATGAAATGTTGGAGCGAGATAGGGGGCAAAGATGAAATGAAAGGTGGGAGATAGTGGGAGGTCTGAGTGAGATATATAGGAGGAGGGGGGAGAGGGAGGGGGGACCTGTTCGTCAGCTCCAACAGAAGAGAAGAATTCCCCAGAAGGTGAGAAGTCGACGCCCAGCACCCCAGCCTTGTGTCCGTGGAGAGTGTAGTATGGTCTTCCCTCCACCAGGTCAAATATCTGAGGTGGTGGAGTGGATGTGAGAGAAGAGACAACTACGCGATTCAGTCGCAGACAAACAATTTCACAGAGAAAAACGTTGAAGATGTCTCCAAAAAAATCCACAAAGGTCTTCGCCCTAAAGATGTTACAACTGCATGCTGAAATTTGTGAGAAAACAACGTTTTTCAAATGTAAAAAAAGTTGACTGAGGTGTCTATGGTCTTGTGGACTTATAGTGTGGTTTGAGACTTGTGGTGTTGGTTCAAGTTTTACCGACAGCTTTGTTTGTCTCTGTGGTCTCATTGTTGTTGTTGTTGTTTACCTTGAGAGTCATGTCAGCTGAGGCCGAGAGAAGGAAGTTTCCGGAGGGGTGAAAGGTCAAATCGTTGACGGGACCAGTGTGGCTCTGGTAGTGCTGCAGTAGCTTGTTGACACGAATATCCCAAATCTCAGGGAGAAGAGGGATCAATTTCATAAGGAGCATCATACTTACGACATTGTACAACTCTTGTTAAAGACACACAAGGCAGTTTCAATGTATGGGTGTGACCGTGTCTATATGATGGGTCAATGTTTGATTTATGAAATAGAAGTGTTGTCTAGTTTACTGCACAGCGAATGTTACTGTATTTATAATTGACTCGAATAAGAAGAATGTGTGTATCTATGTATATACACCTTTACAATGTTGTCAGAAGTACCAACTCCAATACAGTTACCATCGGGATGAAAGGCTACAGCATTGACAAACCTGTGAGAAAGATGGGGAGTATGAATAGTGGTAAGACAAACAGCAGGAGAAGGGGGAAGGAGCAAGAGGTATATAACAGGGAAATGGCGAGATAAAAGGAAGGACTTAGGGAGAGAGAGAGGGGGAGGGGAGAGAGAGAGAGAGAGAGAGGAAGGCAGGGAGTAAAGAGGCCCACCCGCCATGTTCCTGGTAGGTGTGGACGTTCTCCTTGGTCTGTCTGTCCCACAGTCGAACCGTTCTGTCGTCTCCTCCGGACACAATGAGTCGACCATCGGGGGAGAACCGGGCGCTCCTCACCCAGTTACTGTGACCACTTAGAGTAAACTGAAACTTTTGACGATTGACCGTCCACACCTGTTGGAGAGAGAGGAGAGGGACAGAGAGGTTTTTCAAAGCCCAACATTTTTTAAAAACAGGGTTGTGGAAAAAAGGCCCACTTATACTAGGAAGTATGTATATATTATGTACATGCAACCCACAAGGTAAACACAAGAATAAAATTGACCAACCAACTAATTTGGTGATGGATAGTGACTAGATGTGGGAGGGAGAAGTCAGGACGCTACAAACCTTGATAGTCTTGTCGTCAGAGGCGGTGAGAAGCGAGTGGGCGTCACTGGCAAAATGGACACTTCTGATGGACGCCGTGTGAGCCCTTAGAACTGTCGATTCTCCTTTACTGTATGTGGAGGAGAGGTATGTAGGGAAGACGAAAGTTTGGAGCAAGATAGAGGGAAAGACGAAGGTTTGGAGCAAGATAGAGGGAAAGACGAAGGTTTGGAGCAAGATAGAGGGAAAGACGAAGGTTTGGAGCAAGATAGAGGGAAAGACGAAGGTTTGGAGCAAGATAGAGGGAAAGACGAAGGTTTGGAGCAAGATAGAGGGAAAGACGAAGGTTTGGAGCAAGATAGAGGGAAGACGAAGGTTGGAGCAAGATAGAGGGAAAGACGAAGGTTTGGAGCAAGATAGAGGGAAAGACGAAGGTTTGGAGCAAGATAGAGGGAAAGACGAAAGTTTGGAGCAAGATAGAGGGAAAAACAACAATGTTTGAGAGGAAGTTAAAGAGATAAAAGTTTGGAGTTGTAGGAACGTACACACTGGGTATCCACAGTCGAACAGTCTTGTCTCTGGAGGCAGAGGCCACCAGCTGACCAGATGGAGAGAAATGGACCGACAGAATTGCATCCTGGACAGATAGAGATCAAAGTTTGTTGCTCTCTCAATATACGATGTTTGTACATATTTCACTGATGTGAAAGGCAAGAGCTTATAGCACCTGAATGCACCTTATCAACCAACGTCCACAGTAGACACACGTTACCTTGTGCCCGACAAAGCGATAAGCTCTTGCCTGAGGCTTGAAGTGCCACACCATCAGACACGAGTCCATAGAGCCTGTAGCTGTGAGGAAATATCTTGTATTCTCCCCCTCTCTCACATGTTTTTCAACCTACCCAGCTGCTTCATGTTAGGGTTGAAGGAGACGCACGTGACTGCGTCTCTGTGGCCCTTGAAGTGACGCTCGAGCGTCGGATCCTCCTGCAAAGGAAAGAGGTAACCTTGTTCTAAATATCGCGCACCAAAATCGAAAGCTGCGGAAACTGTAGGCCCGTTCGGTCGGCTCTGAAGACTCACCATGTTGGCCATAGCCGCCCTCTCTTTACCTCCAGGTCTCTCCAGATAGTGCAGGAACACGCCTGACTTCAGTTCAAACTTCCCGCCTCATTCTTTAGTCCGCAAAAGTGGGCGGAGATATCCGGAGATCACGTTCTGTTCAAGATGTCTTCTTTGCTGGAAAAGGCCCGCAACCTGGTGCAGATCTACGCCGGGAAGCAGCTGCACAACACGGCCATCTTCTGGGCCGACAAGGCCCTCTCTCTTTCTGCGGGAGATGCCGGCGATCTCGCCACGCTAGCTTCCCTCTTGCACGCCGACGGGCAGCACCGCCGAGCTGTGCACGCCCTCCTATCCTCCCCGCACCTTCTCTCTCGCAGTACCGGGCTCCGCTACCTGGCCGCCAAGTGCTACGTCTCCCTCCAGGAGTGGGAGGAGGCACTGCTCGTTCTGAAAATACCGGACGAGGAGGAGGAAGATGAAGATGCAGAACTGGCTGACTCGGCGCACTGTTCACAGTTGGGTGACGTTACAGCTGCTTCGCTCATGCTACAGGGACGAGCTCACGAGGGCCTGGGGAGCCTACAGGTATAGCCTCTCTCCTCTGTCCTCAAAACTAAACAGTATCTGACTTCAACTGGGTCCTGGAAATTTGCAACTAGTATAATGCTCATTTTTTCCCTTTACAGGATGCAGTTGTGTGTTGCAAAGAAGCGTTGCGGACGGACGTCTACTGCAGTGAAGCTCTAGACTGGCTCTGCGATCACCACGCACTGAGCGGAGACGACGAGAAGGCCCTTCTCTCCGAGCTACCATTCAAGAAACAGTGCTCGACCGAGGAGGAGCGGATGCTGCGAGTTCTCTACATGGCAAAACTGAGGCACAACAAATCTACCGATGTCCGCGCCACTTGCGTCAAAGACCCCAATCTGAAACCTCTCGCGGAAAACTCTGACGTAGTTTGGAGCACCGCTCATCGGCTTTTCAAGAGCAGGAATATCCACGCGTGCTACGAGCTGACGGCGCGGGAACTGCAGAAGGACCCCTTCCATCCCTCGCTGCTCCAGCTGACACGTCCTCTGTTGTGTGGAGAAGAAGAAAACGGCAGAGCTTTTTTCCCTCGGGCACAAACTAGTCGGAAACTTTCCCTCGTCTCCTCTTGCTTGGTTCACGGTCAGCTGCTACTACCTCACCTTACAGAACCACCAGAACGCGAGGAAGTACCTCACAAAGGCTCTGAATCTCGACGGAAACTTTGCACCCGCACACCTCGCGTTTGGCGTGTCGTTTGCGACCGAGGGCGAGCACGATCAGGCGATTTCGGCCTTCTCCAAGGCCGCGAGAACCATGAGAGGATCGCACGTCCCTCTCATGCACCTCGGTCGGGAGTATTACGTCACAGGATCGACTGCTACAGCCGTAAAATTCATGAAAAATGCTCTCTCGATCTCCCCCTCTGACCCTTCTCTCCTACAAGAAGTCGGAGTGATGCTTGCAGACGCAGGGAGCAAAGAAAGGGCGGCAAAGTATTTACTTCAAGCACTCGCCTACCTTCATGTGGCTGACCCTCACATGACGCTAAGAGATTGGGAACCGGTGTACAACAATTTAGGCCACGTGTACCGCAAGCTGGGCAAGCTTGACGAATCGCTCGAGATGCACCATCGAGCGCTCAGCCTCAGCCCAAAAGAGCCCACTACGCTCACATCAATTGCATTTGTCCATCTTCTCAAAGGCGATTGCGAAACTGCCATCGACTATTGCAGCCGCAGTCTTCAAGTTAGGAGAGAAGATCCGTTCACGATCGAAGTGTTGAAGTCTGCGAGCGAGGAGCTGGTGTCAGCTCCTCTGGTCCTGGGCTCTGTGTCTGGGAACGAAAGTCTGGATTCTCTGGAACCGGAGAATGAGATTCTGGAATGGGGGCAGCAGCAGAGGACTAGAGAGGAAATGCAGACTACATAGCTATATTATAGACTCGACTTCCGCTCTGAATTTGTACGAAATTGAATATCATGTCATACAAACTCAAATCCATAAAATCGTCATTCTCCTAAACACAAAGCTACATAACTTAAGTTTTGAAAAGCTCACAGACACACACACAAACATGCATTAAACGTGATTTGAGATGATGATACATAATTAATTATACACAAAAGCAATTAACATGGTAACATTGCGATAGTGTGCTTATGTGGCCAACACAACCACTAGGTATGGGAGGGAAGGGAGTGGGGGGCACATAAAAAAATTTTGGACCAAGATGGATGAGAGAAGAGATGAAGAGATGGAGAAAGAAGTAAGAGACAAACACATGAAGAGAGAGAGAGAGAGAGAGAGAGAGAGTGAGTGAGTCACAAATAGTAAGAACCAGAAAGGAGAAGAGGAAGTAAGGATTTAAGGATTTCCTATATACATCAATCCCACTCTTCATCATCATCAACGTCATCAAACTCTTCTCCGAATCGAGAGTAAAGACTGCACGTCTGAACATCTGTGGTGATGGGCTCTGTGCAGGTCCCCTCCAAACCCTCCCCAACCTCCGGACTGTCTTCATCGGCTCCCGGGTTGTGACCTCTACTTTCCTCAGTCGCTGAGCCACCGCCAGGAGATCGTTGGCGTTGAATGGGCGACTGCCCGATCGGTCGCCTCAGAGTGACTACGGCGTGTCAGTGATCGTGTGGAGTTTGGAGTCATTGGAGAGGGAGGTGGGGGAAGGAATACCACAGAGCGAGGACGGTCAGGCACCGCCTACGACAGGAGCGTGAGCTGGTGAGACAAGGGTGCAGTGGGTGTGGCGTGGGCGAGTGATGGACAAGGGTTGAAAAGGACTAAGAAGATTCGATCATGGGAAGAAGCGGGGAAGAGTTTCATTCTCAGGGAGAGGGGAGGGGCCAAACGATCGACGTCTCCTTTTCCAGAAGAGGGGGGGAGTCGGACCCCTCTCCCGGTGGGCCTCCGCTCTCTTGCTGAACGGGCTCACCTCCTTGTTGGGAAGTGCGGAGAGCAGTTTTCTTATTTGGTTTTCTAAAGGATGGAGCATCTTCATACCCATTCACCTTGGCTCGGGGCTTGTTTCTGGCGGATGCCAGCTCGAGCCGGTGCTGGTGTGCTGAGGTAGGATGTGTTTGGAGACGGAGCAGGGGAGGGGTGGTGGGGAGGAGGAACAGCAGGGCTGAATTCCTTGACCGGGAGTGGGGGAAGGAACAGGCTTTCTCTCCTCTTCCCTCTTCAGGGGTGTAAACGGAGGTAGCTCGCGCTGCGACGTGGACTGAGAAACGACGGATGTTGATTATATTCGTTCTGCTGGTGCGGGCGCAGAAGGGCGGGCTCACAGATAGGGGTGCCGAAAAAACGGAAGGAGTTCATGTCGAAGAGAACTGTTCAGTCCGGCAGGAAGTGTGGGACTGGTCCTTCTGAGCTGTGGCAGTATTGTGAGAGGACTCGGACTTGTCACGGGGGAGGAGATGAGAGGAGAAAACTAGCGGGCGGCCCCTGTCCCTCCTTGCACGGGGTGAAAACGCTTGCCATACTCTGCTCTGTCGTTTGTCTCCAGCAAGGAAGGAAGAGGCACCCATTTCTTTTTGACCGGACTGAGGGGCGTGCGCATTCATGAAGGCATAGTCGCCGTTTTTTTATCACGTGGGGGAGGGGTTTGCAGGCTTCCGGCTCAACTCCTTCATGTACGGGTAGGGACGGTGGTATGGTAAAGAGGGGAGGGCCGTTGTTGATCGCTTCGTCTGCTCAGCAATTCTGTGGATGGGTGGTTTGGGTTTGGGAGTGGTGGGAGGTTGCAATGGGTACCTCCCAAGTGCTGGCTCCGGTCTCAGGGTTTGTAGTAGAAGGGGAGAG